GGAAAGAGAACAACCCCAAATAGACCAGGAGACACAAACTACATGGCCAGGTCAAGCAACGGCAAAGCAAAGGACAAACTTTCTGTTGTTGGTGGCAGAGGTATTGCACTGGTTGGTAGCACAACATCAGGTCTGGATCCCACAGACCAGAAAAAGAGCAAAGGAAGAAGAAATGTGCTTTAGCTGAGCTGGGAAGTGGGAGTTAGGGAAGAAGGAGGGAAGGAGAGGGCACCAGGGCAAAAGGGCATACACAGAGCCTGAGGGCAGGGGAAGGGACTCTAAGCAGAGCCAAACGGGGGAATGATTTCCCCAGGAAATCTTTCAGGTTGGCAATTTGTTAGAAAGCAAGTCCTTAAGACTTGGCTTCTTCCAGGAGAAACACTTCTCACAAGATTAGCTTTGCAATGAGAGAGTTACCTGGGATCTATACTGCTCTGTGGCCTCTGACTTCTGCAGGGCATTAGTGGACTAATTGGCCTGAGAAGTTTGGCCAGTTTGACAAGCCACAAAGAAGATCCGCCAAGAGCTTGGGAAAAGGAATTTGAGGAGCTCTTGGGAAACATACCACTTAAGTATATGAACAAGTGTCCTGTTTTGAGAAGTCTGCAGAGTTAAGTAGCGATGGATGGTCTCTTTTTGCCCCTCGGTTGGTGCTGGCTGGGGGATGACATGAGACTGGCTATGGGTACCGCACCCAGGTTAGGAGAGGGCTGGGCACAGCCGGGAGCCGATGCTGCAGGAGGGAGGTACTGTGTTCCCCAGCTGGCTTCTGATCAAACGTATAAAATCCCCATAACGTCCTAACTGAAGTAAACATGCTACCAACAGGAAATGAGGGGGGTGAACCCTTTTGATGATAACCTGCTCTTACAGCATCTGTGTGGTGTTTGCTGGGCTGATGTCTGCCGCTCTTAGGTCAGCGGCTGGCATGTCTGGGCTTACAGCCAGGAGTGAGCCAACGTTTCTTCTCCTCCTCACCCTTCCATCTACAGGTCGTGACCAGGAGCAGGGTGCCCCTCGGTCTCAGGCAGAGCTGAGAACAAGAAACGTGAACCATCAGAAAGGGAGAGAAAATACAGAGCTATAAAGCTGCCGATGAACAGTCTTTCTCCTCACTAGTAATTCTCCTCTTTGACATTAGCAAAACCAGCAAAGCTAAAGCTTGAAAAAGAGAGTGGTCCCCAGAAAGTGGTCTTTTCAATTTAATCCTAGGGCAGTTCTGCAGACTTCAATTTTTTATCCCCCCCCCCCCCCTCACTGGACTGATTTTTTCCCCCCCCCCCCCCCGTAAATGAGATTTAATTAATTAAGGTCAGACTCCCCCGTACTTGCAGTCCAAACACCCTGCTTTATCTGAAAGTTGAAAGTGTTGAGGTATGGCTTGGACAAGCAGTCCTACAGGATAGGTCTTTTTAAACAAACAACCACATCTTCCAAGGCCTTTGATAAATGACTGAAAAGAGAAAATCAGCCAGTTTCTTCCTGTGTGCAAAGTTCAGGAACTACATAAAATAAAGTTAGGGAGGAAGGAAGTGGGAAACAATGTACGAAGTTGAACAGATTCTGTTTCGGTAATCTGACCTGTTACCAGGACCTTTTAGAGCTGCAAGTACCATTTTTGTATGTTGTCATTTTGTATGTGAGAAGGTGGGGGCATATTTTGACACATAGTGTGCAGTTGGCTGGTAGGATCCTTTCTTGGGTAAAAAGCAGTGAGATTCAGAGGGCAAAGGTTGTTGCTGTAGTAAAAATACCCAAGCCAATTTTGCTGCCTGGATAATGGAGAGTTTCTAGACGGGGAGAAGTGGGCACAATTTAAGATGATTGCACCAGCCATCCCTCTCACATAGGAAAGAAACTGAAGATGTACCTCCACAAAACTCTTTATGTGCGTGACCCCTCTACTGGTACCTGCACGTGGGTCTGCTTTCCCACCTCCAGTGGGGCTCCAGGGGTAAGTGAGAGGGGAGCAGAGCTGACCTGTTCTGTCTGTTGTATCTTGGGTGCAAGAGCTACCTTGCAGTGATATTTGTGTTGCCTGTTTAGCGCTGGCTGGGGCTGGGTGCTTGCTTGGGGCAGCGAGCTCGCCTCCTGGTGCGGCTGCCCTTGTGCATTGAGTGGATTCGCTTCCACTTGCTCTTGAGCCCTCTTAACCCAGGAAAGTCCATGTGTGACCGCCACAGCAGTAGCTGCATCCTCTGTTGTCCTTGCCCTCCCTTTCTTGCCTCGAGTTGCTTCTGCAAGAACCCCTGATGCTTGTTTTTGTTGAGGTTTGTTTGGTTTGTCAATAAAGTGTCTGAATGTGGTTGGCAATTCTGACCCTGGGAAAGGAGATGTGAGCTGCCACAGCTTTTGCCACTGTGCGCCACAGGGTTTGCTGCAGAGCATCCCTCGGCAGGCCCCTGGGGGCTCGCTCCGAGTCGCAGCCAGGTGGATCCCGAATGCTCCTGCCTGGCTGGTCCCCTGGGGCAAGGCAGCCCCTTACGCCTGGAGCAGAAGCCCGAAGACGGAGGGGAGCTGGCATCAGAGGAGAGTGATAGAGCCAGGGAGGGGCAGAGAAGTTGAAAATCCACGAGGGACCCTGCGGAAAGGCTCTGACATGGTGGTGTGTGACGGTTTCACTTCCCTGATCTTTGCCTGCAGTGCAAACTGGTCCTGTGAGGCCCAATGAAAGGCTGGATAGAGCCCCTTCCTGTGACGGAGGTGCCAGGAGGAATGTTCTGGAGTCCATCTTGCCTTTTTGTGAATTAATCTACAAGGTTTGGGGCGGGGCGTGTGTGTGGAGTGCAAACCCATGGGAACCTGCAAGAAATCTAAAACGTTATGCTGCCCCTCCTGATGGAGGGAAGAGTGAAATTCATAAATAGTAGAGATGAACACAGACAGAAAGTGTATGGTAATTGCTTCACGTATTTTCCTGTAAAATGGCCTTCTCCCTTTCTTACAGAAAAGCCCAGAAAAATTGCATAGAGTATGGCGGGTATCCTGTAAATACAACTAGAAACTTCACAGGGTGCTTAATCTCACCACTGGATTACCATATGGCCAGGAGCTGTGCTGTGTGGTTTTACAGTGAAACTCTTGGGCAAAAAACCTCACCCCCAAGCGCAGGAGCACTGTTGCACCCCTGGCTTTCCCCTTCTGGAATTAGGTGAGGGAGGGAGGACTTCAGCCAAACCTGCCTTCTGCAGAGACCCCTTTCATAATCCAACCTGTGGTTTCGGTGTGCTTGTGGGTTGGGTTAAAGCGGTGGCATCTGCAGCTGTCTCCATGCCACCATCTTAGCAGAGAAGCATCTCCTGTTCTTGCCTGCGAATCCTCTGTGCCGGGTCTGGGGGAGGAAAGCGACGTCCCTGAAGAGCCTGGGATCAGTGCCCAGTGTCGTGCCCAGCAATCCGCAAGGGCAGAGATCCGCAGGCAGCACCTCCCTGCCCACCTCCCTCCTCTGCCAAAGACAAAGGGAGCAGGGGCTGCCGGGGCCTGCGGCCCCTCATTTCTTCCCTCTCCACCAGCCACCACCTGCGCTTACCAGGAAGATTCTGTATTTACACCTTGCGAGATGCAAGTGCTTCTGATGGCACTCATAGTGGAGCTCGGCGGCGTGGGGCTAACAAGGTGCAACACCAAGCTTTGTTACTGGGGAAGAAAAAAAAAAATAATAAAGGGTGTGCGGTTTATTTCCTGCTCCAGCAACCAGTGCAGTCATTGGGGCATAAAATCCCGCCACCAGTTTATGGTGATTAATGATTAACCAGGAAGAAACGAGGTGACAGTTCCTGCCTGCTCCTCTGATTGGCCTCTGAGCAATTTGAAACAAGGTGTAAAGTCTTCAACGGTCTCCCTGTGCAGGTCAGCTGCCCTCTGAGGGATGCAGAGAAAGGAGCTGAGCTTTCCTGGGCAATTTCTCTGTCCCACGATGCTTTCCCCCCTGCTTTACTGGGCTGAAATCTGCCTGCTGCTGCTCTGCAGAAGCTTCCAGCTGGAGGGTGCAGCGACAGGTGAGTGAAGTGCCCTTTACCTGTATGAGGTTAACTCTTGGCAAGCAGAGAGACCCAGATGCCATCCTTACTGAAAAATATTAATTGGTGACTGGAACAGTAGCTAGTAATCTGGGGGCTGGTCAGCAGCAAGATCAGAAATTGCAGGTCAGAGGGGGCACAGGGCAGCAGAGTTTGTACTCAAGCCGTATATTCAGTCTGTGTATTCCCTTTCTTTGTAAGTGTCGCTAAGCTCCTCAGCACAAGGGATGGAGCAGGTTTGCGTTTCCAACGCACACGTTTGGGCGGCACACACTGCTGTTGGGAGAGGCTGGTGCAGGGGCATGTCCCTCCGCAGCTGTTTGCACTGCCTCCCAGCTGCCGGGTGCCCCGGCCTGCTCTGCCTCCCCCACACCGCTGCAGGTGCTGGTCAGAGGGGAGCGGGGATGCTCGCAGGAGGGACAGCCGCTTTGCTGGGTGGTTGCCATGTGTTGGGTTTGTACAGGGCGCCTCTGAGCTCCCGGGGACAAAGGCGAGCTGGGAGTAACGCACTGGGATGAAGCAGGCAGATGAGTCCAAGGCTCGACTTTGCTGTGTGTGCCAAGGAGCCTGCCTGCCTGCCCTCTGTTCCTGCGCTACCTTCCTCCTCGCTGTGGGAAATGCACAGTGTAGGCTAATGATGTGATGCCCACCCATGAGACCCAGATGTTGGAGGTCTCCCAGCATCTTGCATGGCCTTGTGGTGAAGTTCCTTGCTCCAGTGCTCTGACTGGATGCTTCAAAGCACTATAGGCTTCCACGAGTGAATTGCTTTTTGTGTCTCACTGATTTTGGGGTTTGGTTTGTTCCTAGGTTTGAAGGAAGCCATGAAATCTGATAGCATTATTGCAGCAGCCCTTGGTGGAGAGGCAAATCTCTATTGCAACTTCTCACTCTCGATGGATGTTTTGCAAGTCACCTGGCAGAAGAGAAACGGGTCCTCCTTCCAGAACATAGTCACCTATAGCTTAAACCACGGGCTGAGGCTGATAGCGCCATTTCAGAAGAAGGTGCGTTTCAATACAGCAACCCTGAAGGCCTCGGCTATCACGCTCCAAAATCTCACATTTGAGGATGAGTCCTATTACAGATGCATTTTCAATGTGTTCCCTCATGGCTCTTTCAGCAAAGATATATACCTCAACATCCAAAGTAAGTTTTCCACTAACACCTTCGCACTTTCTGGCACTCGGCACAGGTCTGATGTAGTCAGGAGGTGGGTAAGGCATTATCCCCTCAACCACATGGAGACTTTCCATGCAGCAGCATCTCCTCAGTGGATAGTCTCCAGAATTGCAATACCTTTCCTCAGAGGTGAAGGTAAATAAGCTGGGAGATGCTTTCAGGTAAGAACCCCCACACAGAGAGGTGACCCGTCCAGCTTTGACCGTAAACTCACCAGAGAGTGTAAAAAAGTACCTTATTTTTTCTTTCTCAGCAATTTCTGAGTTAAAAGTGGAATATGATTCCCACTTGTCCTCCGAGGGTCTCCTCACTGCAGTGTGCTCAGCAACAGGAAAGCCTGCCCCCAAAATCACTTGGCTGGATAACAGCGTCCTGGATGAGCCCACTGAAATACACCACATCCAAAATGCAAATGGAACAGTAACGGTGGCAAACAGGTGTACCTTCTCTGCCAACCACCTCCGTGCCTTGACCTGCCTCCTTGACCACCCACAGGGAAGGAAAATGAAGGCACTTTACCTGGAAAAAGAAAGGGAAGGTATGGAGAGGTGGGGCAATGTAGTGGGGAGTGCTTAGGAAAGGATGTGTGACTGTGGGAGCGCAGCTTGTGCTTATGTAGGTCTCACTAGTCATTTTTCTGGGAATTCAGATCTCATGATGGATGAAGATTTCATAATTTGAAACCATCCAGAAGACTTCTCCCTGCAGTACCTTTGTGTATGTGTGGTGGGTGTGTGCACATGTACATATAATAAGCATGTAGATTTGTGTGTGTAGATATGTCTCTGTATGCTTATATTTCTACACTGTCACTGATTTAGAGTGAATGCAACCAGCTCTCCAGCAGCATCCACAGCTGGAGGGTACCAGCAGAGGAAGCCCCTGGCTGTCGAATGCTGGGGAACAACATTTTGCATGGAAGATCTTGCAGGAGGGTATGTCTCACGGAGGATGGCAGACTTTCCTCATGATAAAATTTCTTCATGCAGAAAGAGAAGCACAAATAGATTAGGAGTAAAAATGGTGGGTTTTGGTTGCCCCAAAACCATGTAAATGTGAGACATTATTGGTATTTATTTGAAAAATAAACTAATTCCTCACCTACCACAGCGTTACGCTGTTCCTTTCTCTTCTTCAAAGAATAAATGAGCACAAACTGGTGAATGTTCCACTTCAGTCCCAACCTCTGGAAAAGGACACAAGAAACACGTTGACATCCCTCTATATTCTGTGTAAACTTACTGCTTTCATTTGTAGGTGATCAGAAGAGCATAATCATCACGGCGGTCTTAACAGTTGTGGTGTTCTTAACAATCTTTATCCATTACGTCATAAGACTAATCAGCAGAAAAAGGAAAAGGTAAGAATCGTTTACATTTTCTTGCAAATGACACAGGTGGCCTGTGTTCACCTTGCAATTTACCTTTCTGTTCCTTGTTGGTGTTTTTATATACCTGCCCTGGAAACTTACCCAAGTGGTAACCGCATCTTTAAAATAGCAAGATTCACTCTAAATGCCGGGAGGTTTCTAAGCATTATGTGACTAGCCAATGTGTTTTTTCTCCAGACAGGAGAGACACAGTGCACCCAGAACACCTGCAGAGGAGAAAGGCTTGCACCAAGACCTAAGTGAGGAAGCCATGAGCCTGCACACGCCAAAGGACCAGCACATTGTTTATCAAAATGAGGTAATGCACACACCCAAGTCTCGCAGTAATTTTTCACATCCTTCAAAAGCCTTGGCAACACTTACCAGGAATGTGACAAAAGCCTTCCATTGAGAGCTGGGGTCTGCTCCTGTTGCTATGTCTCTGCTGCATGGGACAGCCACACTGGGTAGAGGACACCATACGTGCCCCATCTAACCTGGGGCTTGAAGGAGAAAAGTTAGCCAACGTTAAGTGGAAAAGCAGGGAAGAGGTACTGGAAATGCCCAGGAGGACAGACGGGATGTCCCATCTGGGAGAAGGCAAAGGAGCGCTGCAGAGCTCAGGCGCTGTAATCAGCAGCCTCACACGAACGTTTCCCAGGAAATTCTGCCCTGCTGTGCTGGTCATACAGGCATGAAGGTGCTCTGGAGGGCTGGTGGTGTGCACAGACAAAAGCAGTAAGTGGCCACAGCTGGGAGTCACCCCCACTAGCTGCTTTCCTCTGACCTCCCACGGATTGCCTTTTTTCCTTGCAAGCTCTTGCTAGCCCTGTGCTGTGAAGGGGAGCCCTTCTGTCCTCTTGTCAATTCTCTCTGCCAGATAACGCAGAGCTTTGTTGTGGTGACCACACCATTGTGGTGCTGGGTCTTTTGCAGAAGCCGACACCAAATTCCTCACTTCGCAAAAGGCTGTCAGGTGAGAAGAGAAACCTGAGAGAGAAAAAAAACTGCAAGTGCTTGTTTCCAGAGAAAATGGAGAACCTGAAGAGCAACATTGAGAGGCAATATAAGGTGTTGATCAGGGAGCTTGGCTGCACTCCCATCAAGGAGGATAGAGAGGCAACAGCAGGTGGGGAGTCCAAATAACATCTCGACCTGGCTGCTCCCCCGCCAGGCACAAGAAGAGCCATCAGCCCACTAAAGACCCACCTCCACAAGCCCAGAGGAGCCCAGGGACACAAGGCCAGGTGGGGAGCCCAAACTAAGGACTCAGAGGAAGGAACACCTTGCCAAGACCCCTCCCAGGAATGTCCCAGGAGATCCTCAGCCCCAGGGTCTGGGTGTGAAACCCATCCAGATGAGTCACCAGTGGAGCACCTTTTGAACCAAGGGAGTCATTGCTTAAAGGGGTATGGACACACGATAAGATGCAAGGGAAGAATGTTTTGGGATTGCACAGGACTTATTATGGGATGCTTAGGCAATGGGGAGAAAGGGAGGAATCAAGGGGATCTGGGGATTAAAAGGCCTAGGAAAATGGAGGGATAAAGGGGTCTGGTATCACATATGCATGAGGCTGATCAGTATGCTTGTCTGGCTGCGCCTGGCGCCTGATCACCATGGTGTATCCTGTCTTCTCATTAAACTCCATTTCTAACTCTTCCTGGGTGAGAGACTCCCTAGTCAGTGTGCATGTGTGTATGGGGGCCTGGTGCTGGCCACTGGGCTGGGACCGTGGGCCAGTGGGCGCAACTGAGGAGACCTGAGTGAGAGGAACCAATTGCCAGCCACCAGGATGGACAAGGGGCAGAGCCCGTGTGTCCTTGGTGCGGCACCTGCAGCGAGTGTGGATGGGCGTGCAAATGCCAGCAGGGATCAAGACAGGCAAGCTGGTGAGTAGGTGACATGTCCTGGGATGCCCCTTGACGTTTCACAGGTAATCGGGTAGGAGGAACCGTGCTGCCAATGCTGCAAGATCCACGGAAATGTACTAAGATTGGTATTTCGAAAAAAGTTATGTTTTTAAAGGCTCGAGGTGGAAAGATTCCCCTCTGGCTCTCTGTATCGTTCCACGAGGTGTGTTAGAAATGTCCCTCCAGCGTGTTTGCAAAGGCTCTTCTAACAGCTTCTGTCACGGTGCAGCCTCAGTGCAGAGCGCTTTCTTTTACAATAGCAGAGTACCCTCTAGTGGGAGAGATCCCAAACGAAAGTGAAAACGCCTCCAGTGAGTCTCCCGTTAAAACAGCAACTCAGGAGTGCTATTTTTTTTCTCTTTGGTCTTTCAAATAGTCTTTTGGTATCCAGCAACCCTACCCAGTTATCAAGAAATTACAACCCCTGTGTCCAAAGACTTTCAGGAACAACATGACGAAATGACTTCGAGTGTTGTTCTGTGGTGGACGCTGACTGTGGTCCTGCCTTGCTCTGCTGAAAAAAGAGCTCTTGCAAAGGACCAGGGAAGGCAATGTGCAAATGTTCCCAAGTCTGTCCTCCAAGCTGTCTGCGATGGACAAAAGAAGGCGTGCTAGAGGAGAAGTGGGAATGGCAGGCATTCGGTAGTACCTGGGAAGGCATCTACACTGCCAAAGTCCCTCTGACAGGTTCTGCCCAGGGTTGCCTCCTGAGAGCTGGATTTTCTGCAGCTGGGCTTCTTCGTTAATGGACCTTTAGAAAACAATCTTGGGCTTCTTGGCCAAGGGACCTATAGAAGTCTATCTCAAGTGATGTTTTAACTAAGAGTTGCTCAGCATTTAAAGGATAAATGTTTCCTGCATTCTGAAAAATCATGTGCTGATTCAGCTTGCCTTGAAGTTTTATCGCGTCGCGTGCATGTAGGTGTTGTGGTTCAGCCCCAGCCAGGAGCTGAGCATCACATGGCCGCTTGGTCATCCCTCCAACCTCAGTGGAATGGGGAGAATTGGAAGAAAAAGGTAAAACTCATGGGTTGGGATAGGGACAGTTTACTGGGACAGCAAAGGAAGAGGGAAATAAAGACAACAGTACTTAGAATATACAAAATGAATTATACACAATGCAATTTCTCGCCCTACAACCGCACAAGACTGCACGCTCAGATGGTCCTGGAGCTACTGCTTCTCTCTGACTAGCCCTCTTTTGTGCTGAGCATAAGAGCTGTATAGTATGGAATACCCCTTTGGCTAATTTGGGTCACCTGCCCTGGCTGTGTCCCATCCCAGCTTCTGGTGAAAATTAACTCTATCCTAGCTTAAAACCACGGCATTATCCACCCCTTGTTCTATACCATGTACATCATGCCCAGATCCTACGGTGTCCAATTAATCACTGCCACTTTCACTGTCTTTGAGATATATGTATGTATACATACATAGATATCATTCCCTTAGTCCAATAGCCATCCCTCTAAAATGTCCGTTGAGTTCACGTAGTCTAGGACTGCGGGCTCCACCTGCCACAAGAGTATCTCAGGGCAGGAGAGATGGTGTGTGATGTTGGATTGTTGCATGCTGCATCTGGAGCTCACGGCTGATGTATCTGGTGCAGTTCATGCCCATGATCTGCAGGTTGAAGAAGTCAATTTCAAGGGAGTTGCTGGGCACCAATTGCCGAAGTCAGTTCTAGTTCCAGCATCACTGCACTTTGCTCGGTTTCATCAAAGTTCATCCTTCATTAATTTAGGTGATCCTTACTGCAATACCATTGATACATCATATAGTAAATGTAGTAGTGATGACATGCAATGGCAGGATTATTTAGCAATTAACATCATACAATTTAATTTATTGTCTATTCTCACCCAAAATCAAATCCCCCTCAGGTACACATCAGACTTCCCCATCTTTCCACATTACCCACCAAGTGCTCCCAGGTCCTTGAGCAAAAGCAAGCCTGTGGATGGGTTTGCCTTTGCTTGAAGGAATATAACAACTTCGTTTTAGCACACTCTGGTCATATCTGCCGTTGTTTCAAATGCTTTGGGCCCCATGTTGGGCACCAAAAAGAACTGTCATAGTTTAGTCCCAGCCAGCAGGTGGGACGGGTGGGGAATGGGAAGATAAAAGTAAAACTTGTATGTTTGGATAAGGATAGTTTACTGGGACAGCAAAGGAAGAGGGAAATAACAAGAACACTTAGAATATAAAAAAAAATTAGTCATACACAATGCAATTTCTCTCCCCATGACCTGATGACTGCACACTCAGCCCATCCGTGAGCCGCTGCTCCTCCCCAGCCAGCAATCTTTTATGCTGAGCGTGACATCATATGGTATGGAATACCCCTTTGGCTAGTTTGGGTCACCAGTCCTGGCTATGTCCCATCCCAGCTTTTTGTGAAAATTAACTCTATCCTAGCCAAAACCAGGACAGTAGGTTACAATTAGGGGCTTCAACTTGGCATTCCTTGAATGAGAGTTTTCTGAGATTAAATGCTCATTAATTTTTTTTTTTTTCAGAGAAATTATCTGTGGTTTTTTTCCATGGCAGTCATGGACACATGGCTATGATTCAAAGCCATCAATATACGTGTATAAACATGACAACAGAAGAAGGGGCAAGTGTGTTTAACTACTGCTTTTCAAAGATAACTTTTTCCCAGGAAATGGAAATTGTAGAGAGAAATGTGCAGGCTCAGTGCTGTGAGATAGCGACCAGTGGTACTCCAGCTGTGTGGTTCAGAGCCTGCTGAAGGAGGGGGAAAGGAATGGCTTCACCTCTGTACCGCAGTGAGTACATGATTTATCCTTGGTGGAAAAGTGTAGTTTTTCTAAGACTAAAATGTTAGCTTTGGTGATTGAGAAGGAAAAATGAAAATATGATGAAATGCACACCAAGGATTCAGAAAACAAATAAGCAGAAAAATTCTCAATTTTTTCCAGGAAGTCTCACTTGATGGCTTTTTTAAAAAGAGTCTAGTACTTATCTCAAAGTAAGGAATGAAGAATAGACCTCATTTGTGACAGAAGAGATTTCAGATTGCCTCTTCCACCAGCACACAGGGTGTGAAGGTGAAGAAATAAAAGGAGAGGAACAAAAAACTCTCTGGATTTTAGGACAAGAGGTCTCTGCTTATTCTTTTTCTCACTAACTTCAAAGGCTTTGTCATGCCAGAGAGTCGGTGTCAGTTCCGCCTCCACCAGCCCCAGAGAAGGTGGCGTACAGACAACTTTGCAAAACTTGGCAGAGATTACTGAGCTGAGCTAAGTCCTTGTAAAAAGAAATGGTTGACATGAAAGCACAGAATAAGGCATAAAGGGACTTTTGTGTCTTGTTCTTCTATGAATATAAAAAAAATTTCAATTTTCTGCCATTACTGGTCTGCCTGGAGGACTTTCCATTTGCCCCTGTCTGCCCTGAGGTTATCTCTGGTCTTCATCTACTACTTAGAACTATCTTTTCCTTGTTCAGCTCTAGTTTCCTCCCTCTCTTCCAAAGAAGCAGCCGTCTTACTTTCCAGACCCTTTCATCATTTTCTTCTTTCTTTTCCCCAGCCCATTGAAGGAGCAGTAAAATCTGGATAAATATAGAACTTTTCCACTTCAGTAGATGTGAGGTACAGGGTGAGCTCATATAAAATATCACTTAAGTTCCCCAAATATCCCCTTTATTTTTGTGAAATAAAGGCAGGAAGATGTCCCTGGGACTTCCTTGCTTCTGTCACTTTAAAGGCACAGGGCACTTTCTGATAAATTTATTTTAAGCTGTGTAATCTGCAGTTCTCAAGTTCCCTCTGAAATCCCCTCAACTATAGTGAAGGCAGGTGAGCACAGGAGACTTGCTATCACGTTTTTTCTCTTTATGAGAAAACTTTGTTATCTTTATGAGAAAAATGTATGTGAAGCATGTAGGTATGTCAGTCTCAAACAACAAGTAGTGGGTTAGTTGCAGGAGACCTGATCTACTTTAGAGGGAACCCATTCTCTACTCAAAACAAAAAGGGGAAGGCCAGCAGAGGGAAATTGAAATGACTTGAGACATACTCATTGGTCCTAGAAGATAGAAGAAAATGTTGAAAAAAGGTAGAGGTGGAGCTTGGGCTTTGTTTTTTTTAGCTGACAGAGGAAGAGCTCCACTAAACAAGCACTATGATGGAGAAGATATCTCCGAGGACAGCTGTATCCAGCTGGAAGAGCCACTGCCCTGACCACCAGCCTACAGCAACAGGTTAGA